TACCAAATTAATTCGAGAAAGAATACTTTTGTGCAGGTTTCCTGTAAAATATGTTTGAATCTATAACGCTACCGAGAATGAATGGGGAAATTCATAGTACCTGAATGGACATCTTTGCAATTTAGTTTTTCAAATGTGTTTCGGTAGGTTTAAAATAATTTACGTTGACCCAACTGTGAAAAACTCGGTGCTTCGGTGGGGTTCGAACCCACGACAGCAAGGGGAGGCTTTAGTACAGCCAACAATCTAGTTGGGGCCTCGTAGCTCAAAATGAATTATACCTGCAATACAGTCGACAGTCTATCTTATGAAAAGTTAAGCAAAGTTCCCAAGATACTTCACTCACGCCTGGACGCCGCCTTTAAATGTGCTCTTGTCTGACCGCCTGCTCGATTGAACCCCGTAATAACCGACTACTTAGTTAGTAGGAATTTTTACCGCTGATTTTCTGTGCTCTTATGAATCGAAATATCTTTTGTAGAAAACAAGCACAAAAGTACTCCCTCTTGCATGCGTTTAGTGGAAACCCACGTCTTCTTCAAGTTCTATACTCGAAGCAAAGTTGTCTCTGGGTTCGAAAAACGTTTCGTGATTCTCGAATAATTGTAAATCGGACCTGCAGCTGCACTTGCGTTTAAGGTTTCCAAATTTGTACGCTGTATACTTTTCGTACAAGGAAAACTGCACTTTTCTCTGCAGCATTAAGAGGACGCCATATAGGATTAAAAATTATTTAATGGATGTGGACCATGTCGTAAGCTTAGTTAGTAGAATTAATGGTCAGATATGGTTCTGTAGCCGCACCTGAGGTTAAAAAAACTTCAGCTACCTTTAATATGGCACCGGTGGTAATAGGGGTTTTTACAGGTGGGGCCGGTGAACGCACAGGCGCCGAGGTCAAGTAATTGTATGCAAAAGAAAAGCTATTGGGAATGCGCAGTTGTACTTTTAATGGTAGAGACGCTCTAAACATCTGAGCTACGAGGCTGACCAGGTCTCGTATGTTATGGATTATTTCCGAAATAAAATGGAAGAATCAGTGTTGCGGATGCTCAACTCAGGTCGGTAAAAAGCGGCTTCTCTGGAGCATCCGTCGACCGGGAAAGAAGGATTACTGGAGTAAATTGGTCAGTCAGTCAGTCAGTCAGTGTATTTGAGGGAAATAGGCTTCACACCGTGACTTTGGACTGTTTGTTTATTTTTGACAGGTAACGGACACCTCAAACAACCTGTCGTAATCCGAGTTGGTGAATGATCTGGAGTTGATATCCGCGCATAACGGTTGCACTCTACCCCCGATCATCACCGGACTTCTTGTTACACTAACCTCTTCGGGGTCATGGACGTGCTATTTATTCCATATTTACAACGGTATTTTCTCGAGCATTTAAACTTTGGTTTTGCGAGGGAAGCGCATATGGGGATTAGTATCACACCCGCGCCGTAAGGCTAAACGGTGCACGGAACTCTTTTTACCACACTAGATGAACTTACTCGGGACAAAAGGAATATTTCGGTCGCAGGCATTGCAGTCAGTGCTGCTTACAAAAGCGCGCCATTTTTATAGACAACCCGGCAGTTCGACCTTAGATTCCGACGATGTTCACCGTATGCTACGCAGGAACGTGCAGCAGACACGGCGACTTGCGCGTGAATTAGTTTATAGTGACAGTAGACTTACGCTGCATCTACCGCACTTTCGTCTCCCCACTCCTCACCTGGACCTGGTGTCAAGACAGAGTCAAGAAGACCAGAGGCGGAGGAGGGCGCAGGTGCCTGGCACGGCCGGACCCGCACCTGGGCGCTCCACTCCTCACCCCTGGTCCACAACATGCACTTGATCAGGATTTATCACCAACAACAATAAAAACACCCCAATAGGGGTCAAAAGGATGAGGATGATGACTGGAAAGCCGTGCCCACCACCTTTATACCCAGCGGGAGCGTGAGCGCATCTACAGTTAGGGAACCAGATGTCAGGGACCTGCCGACGCATACCAGACTGCTCTCCACTGTGAGTTAGGCGACGCGAACCTAGCATAGTCACTCTCATAGTCTCTGGTGATGGGCCTCTTTACGGGTCCGAAAGTTTGGGCGATTACGCCTGCTCTTCCTCGGATCGCGTAGTAGTAGTAGTAGTAGTAGTAGTAGTAGTAGTAGTAGTAGTAGTAGTATTAGTAGTAGTAGTAGTAGTAGTAGTAGTAGTAGTAGTAGTAGTAGTAGTAGTAGTAGTAGTAGTAGTAGTAGTAGTAGTAGTAGTAGTAGTAGTAGTAGTAGTAGTAGTAGTAGTAGTAGTAGTAGTAGTAGTAGTAGTAGTAGTAGTAGTAGTAGTCACAGTTGCATTCGCTATTATTGTTCATTCATCCTTGTTGTTATGCTAAACATAGCCATAGATGTAAATAATAAGAATGAGAATATAGCGCTGAATAGTAGATTAATGTGCTTTCTTCTTCAGCGGTCTTAGGCGACGGATCCGTGTGGCTTTCGTTTTACTGCCTTATATGGCGTCGGCAGGATTAACTAGGGATAATTTATATCAGACTGAATTCGCATGGGGCAGCACTTTTTAATTCCTAATCGACGCAGCCTAGCTGGCGAAAATGCCGCACTTGAATTGAAAAACGATTGTAAAGAACACTTTTGGCTGAACAAATAACTATTTCGACTCTAAAGGCTTTCTTTACCTGTGATTGCGTCTTCCTGCGTTGTCACCTATCAGGAGTGTCGCCTGGAGTCTGCCAACGGACTATTTTGGCTGATTTTTCGCATCCTTGTCCAATTAGAAACAGTTTTATACAAGTAAGTTGTTCGGATCCTTAAGACTGTGACGGTTTTGAGTGCTATCAAAATAAGAGCTAGTTTAAGAAGGGATCGCCTTAGCAATCCAGGAAAGAATAATTTAAAGTTTGTGAATCGTCTTTACGCCATTTGTAAAGTTCCGAATCTACGAAACAAACTTCTGCCCCTCAGGAAGGCTGAAGCGTCAGGCGTTCGACCACCAACAAAGGAGATTTTCAACAGACACCGCCTTTGCCAGATACAGGGACCACTTCCGGGTAACGCAGACGGCCTCCCGGAAAACACGCAGATTTTTATCGAAGTGGAACGTTTTGCTGTTTCTGACAATTGCGTTGCACAAGAAAAACCGTGAAAGCGCGTGTGGGTGTCAGGACCAGTTAAGCAGTTTTCTTGTTCTCTTCTGCGCGGACTTCTGGACTTCGAGGGGGGGGAGGAGAGGGGGGAGACTGTGCCGCCTTTCCTGCGGTTTGACAGGATAGTAGAGCAACGTGATAACTAGACCGTGGGCGGTGAGGCCGCGTCGCAGAGACGGCTACTGCGTTAACGTCGACGGGACGACGGCATGGCGTGCGTGCGTGCGTGCTACTGGGCTCCAGCCTTGACAGGCGTCTTCCGTAATAATCCCGATGCTTAATGAGTCCCGCCATCCAAGGCGCTTGTGTTCGCACACACACGTGGAGCGAAGTCAGTTATCATCCCCACCACCGCCGCCGCCACCGCCACCGCCAACACCCTCCCCCACCCGTCTGCCCCTTCCCCCAACGTCAGCCCGTAAAAGCCAACACTTGCTTGAGGCCCACGGGAGGAATTCTTCCGCGACCGCTTGCCACTCGAAGACCGCACACTCGGGCAGACACC